CACTGGAGCACTGCCATCTTTGCACCAGAGCCAAGGTCCACAGACTATTGCACCAAGATGCAAGCCTCCACCCTATCTTTCTATAAAAAACTATAATCGTAGCTATCAGTAAAGATGCTGAAAAGCCATAAAATCTTACTTAATTTGCTTTCATTTCCTCCACAAAAATGATGTGCAGTATTATAGGAGTCAGCTTTGAGAGATGTGAATTAACCTTTGGAAGCCACTTTGGTCAAGTGCAACTTCCAACCAAACTTTATGTTGTCCATCTTAAATGTCATTTTATCTGAATTTACATAGCTGGTTCTAACTTTCCTGATTAAAAAAAATAAATATATTTACTGTAAAATGTTTGTACATTTACAGATCAAATTGGCTCAGTAATGGGTAAACACTCTAAAGAGGGTTGAAAAACCTGAGCACTAAAGGGATTAAAAACAACTTTGAGTAACCAAAAAGGTGAACAAAGTACACAGCAGTCTAATCTAGCTCATAGTTTGGGCAGGCTTTGAAGACCATAGGAACTACATTAGTGCAGAACTGAAGAGTTGAAGGCTCTTAGGTGATCAGCATAAAATAAGATGGCAGACCTGGTCTAGTTCATGCAACGACCAAAAAGACAACAGTATTCCCAGGACGGAACATTTCTGGTTTGTGTTAGGAGACATGGACAGGCAACAACTCTCAGGGATAAAGCTCTTAAATGAGACAGTGAGGGTATGATTGCAGGGGGTCTTACTACTTACTGCTTTACTCACCTTGCGTATAAACAGAAGATTACAGTCTCGATACTGTTCATCCAACAGTTTTCCTTAGAAAATAAACATATAAACAAAAAAGCCCAAGGACTACTGAACGTAAAATATTTTAGCTTTTGAGGTGAAAAAAATCAAACACTGTCCAAGGAGGTAGTAAGTAAGCTCTGACACTTTTGCAACAAGCCTTACCAGGAAGGCAACATATCAATACCTAGGCTTCCTACACTGCCTTTTCATTTTAGTTTAAAGAGTCCAAAGATGATGGTCTTGAAGATTTGGAAGGAAGGAGGAAGAAAGTTTTTCACATGCAGGCCATTATTTTAGAGAGATGAAGGCTAAAATAAAGCAAAATAGTAAACTGTCTTTGAATCTGTAAGTCCTATCATCCTTCTACTGAAAGCAAGAATACCATTTCAATTCACTTGCAGAAATGTTTAAGTTACAGGCACTGACTAATTATGTATTATTAATGCAAAATGTGTACTTACTAATCTTTATGATAACTGGGTAAATAAAAAATAGGAGAAATGTATTTACACTAAATATTCACTACAAAGTATCTAGTAAGCACAAGATCTTTGTGCTGAACACAAGACTTTGCACCCAGCTGACAACTGAAAATTCTTTTTTTCTCTTTTTTTTTAATGAAAGCTTGGAGTTTTCAAGATAATACAGTGCACAGCAAAAACTGCGAAGAGACCCTAAAAATCAATAGACCTGTAACTATTTTTAGATGTTGCTATTTTCTACTATCCCTGACGTTAAGCCAATTTTGGGGAGATTTGGCTGTGTGTGTGTTTCTGTAAGACATTTGCAATCAGCCACCACGTAAATTATCCCAGAAGCAAACTGAGAGCTGCAGCTGAGCGAGTACTAGGCTGAGCAGAGAGAACATCCAGTTCTCCCATCCCTTATATGCCACAAAAGGGGGCAGAACAACACGAGATTCTATTACTACCTAAGAAGACACTGATTTTATATATTGAGCTGTTTTTTGGTGGGTTTTGATATTTTAGCCAGGTAATTTCTTGCTTCTAATTTTTTCTAATATTACTGATCTTTATCATAATTTATGTATTCTTTACTACAGCCTCAAATGCACTTCTGTGCTATGTTAAAAATATATATTCAAAAAAGACAAAATTACTACTTCTTATAATTCAAGACAGAGTTCATTTAATTTCTTTACTTCTAAGAAAATTAGCAGAGATTGCAAGAGGCAGAAGGAAGAAGAGGAGAAATCCATTAGCCAGGAACAGACACCTTTTAGACTAAACTGCTGTCATCTGAAAGGGAATGATAATCTTCATTACCCTTAAAAACAGGTGTATACTCTACCTTAGAGCAAAATTTGCCTGGTGTAAGGGGCTACTAGGCAACCTGTGATGCATTTCACTTCTGCCTTATGTAAGGTGCTGGTGGTGTACAGATCCTGTGCTGGCTGTCTGGACAGCTGCCTGTGGCTTTCACCTACTGAAATTTCAAAAGACTCATTTGAAGTGGAAAGAATGGAAAGACTCCCATTGACTTAGTGGAAAGGACATCAGGCCTGACAGTGAACACAAGATGTGCTTCATAATCTAACTTTATCAGCTCAGACTTGCTCTCACTGAAGTCAGGGAAGTTTTGCCCATGACTTCACAACAGGAGCAGCACTTAGGTTCCACAAGTCTGAGCTAATTTAGTAACTGATGAATGATAAAGAAGAAAGGTTTGGGAAGTTAAACTTTTTTTTTTTCACTGCATCTATAATTAAATACCAATCACCATTAAATTATTAGCATTTAAAATAAGCAATTCTTTGAGCCAAGATGTGTTATCCTTACATATGGACAGTTACAATATTTGACTCCAGGTAGTCTGGTTTTCTATTTCGTATTTATAAATGCCTTGTTTTTTTTCTGTTTTCCTGTTTCCTTATTTGCAGTTATGCAGTAATCAACTTATTTTAAAAACAAGTAGAGAAACAATGTGATATGAACCAGGAAGTGAAATGGTACCAGGAAGAACGACCTCTAGGAACACTAGGACTAAATTCTATCCTTTAGAGAAAAAAAAACAAACCTCAATGGAATTATTCATGAAAGCTTATAAGTAGAATTTGCTCATTGAAAACATGAGGAGTACCTTTTTCTTATATACTTCTTGTCAGCTACCATGGTTTCATTCAACAAAGCAAATAGCTTCCATTATTTTGGATGGTATATGAAAACTCTTAGTAGTTGAGCCACTTTAGTCAGCACCATTATTGAAGATGCTGCCATGACATTATGATGGTAACATGCTTCATATTCTTAGTTTCTTCATTATTGCTTTTCCATTCAATGCCTGGTTTTGCCTTATTGCATTTTTTTTTTTTGTCTTCACAGCACTGTCACCTGCTGATGCAGCTACTGCTCTGACCGTACTGAGACTTTTGCACAGCTGCCAGTTCTAACTTGAGCTGCATGGCCAAGTCCAGGTTGCTAATCCGGAGAATGACGTCCCTGTCTTGTGCTTCCATGCCCAGAAACTTGCTGTCTGTGGTGCGGTGTAAAATTGCAGGCTACCTATTACTGCCAGAAGTCAACGCTTTAATCAGTTAACGTTTCTGTGGCATTTTTTCATGCTCAAAATACAATTAAGATAATCGTGCATCAATTCAGTTCTGTAGGACAGCTATTATACAGGGATTAAATACCATTTATAAAAACAGAGCTGCTAGTTGAAGTCCATGCTTGAAGTTTAGCAACCACAAAACACAAATTACTTCAGTAGAAACATTTTTTTGAGCTTTTCCGAAAACGTTTTTGAAGGTCAAGTGAAATCACCTACCTGTTTTTTTTACGTTTTCCAAAACAGACCTGAAATGAGCATGATGTTTCTGCATATGTGCTCATTTTACATAGGAACCCAGGCCACTACTAATCTTCAGAAGAATGTTTGTTTAGTGATTGGAAACATTGTAACACTCAGCTCCATTAGAACAACTGAAGCCTAATGTTTCTTTTTGGTGGCTATATGGCCATCATAAAATAGGTACTTCATGCTGGTAGAAGGCCCAAATTCCCCAGAAGTGAAATGGAGAAGAGAAGAATAAAATGGCCATTGACTCAACAATGGATAAATTAAAATAACATTCATTATTTTTCCTTATTAATTTTACATTAAATATGGAAGTACTTTATTTAAGAAATCTTGACCAAATATTTCCAATTTGGGGTTATGTGAAGCTATAAACTGAAACTAACTTTATACTCCTTACCATAACTCATTTTTAAAAAGAAAAGCATACCACTAGATTACATTGTCTTTCCTGAGAATTTCAGGTGCTCAATTTCTATGAAAATCAAGCAGGTTTTATTGAGGAGCTTAAATTTGGACTTAGCAACCTAATTTTAGTCTCTGAAGTTTGAATTTAATTCAATGTGACATTGTATTCCTGTACAGGCCAAGCTTGGCCTCATGTTCTTTAAATAAAGCACCTTCAATTTTACTTGAAAGGATGATATCTAAATCAAAGTAGAAGGTTATTTTGTCTCCATTGGTTCTGAAGCTAGAACAAGTGGTCATGCACATTATCCCATTCGTACTAATTTATGCCAAAATATGTGGCATATTTGTAACAAGTATCAAGAGCAGATTAGTATAAAGTTCTGGGCAGAGACCAAAAGCTGCCAACTTACTCTCCTTAGAAAGTGATCTTACAGATATTTGTTGAACCTGTTTAAGGCTGCCGTATATCATATGGGCGAAAGACCAGTTATTAATATACCGATATGCACGGAGCACTACCCTATTGCATTTTGTTCCAATTTAAATGCCCTGGTGCTTCAACAAAAATAAACTAGATTTCTGTAACAACAGCAGTGGTGTAGCTAGGAGCAAAACGCCAGCACGGTCCCTGTGTGCCAGCCACAAGGTGTGTTCAGGAGGCACCCATGACAACCTTCAGAAAATAATCAGTTTTCTTTGCAACAATCGTTTATGGGAATCCATTAGAAACTCATACAGAAAACGAAACTGAACGTGCGCCAGATGGCTCCACTGTTTTTCTGCTTTTCATAATCAAAACAAACGTGGCAGTGGGCTTAGCGTGACAGACAGAACTCCCAAAGAAGCCCAAAGGGGCTTTTTCATGAGTAACATCCATAGGACCAAACACTATGAAGAATGAAAAGGTACAGTCTGAAGTCCTACCAGGATTTAGTCAGGGATTGTACTATTTCACCATGAGCAAAAGAAGTTTAAGGAATAACCAACCTTGAATTGTCCTCTTGAAAAAAGCCTTGCAGGCCTCGCAGGAAGCCACTCCGTAGTGGTACCCTGATGCAATGTCACCACACACCAAACACAGTCTTTTGGGCATCGAGTTCAGCATATATTCACACTTGGTCTGTGAATCTTCAGCAATGGTACTGGAGCAGTCATCGTACCGTTTCCTGACCGGCCCGTTGCCCCCAAGCCCCGTGGCCGAAGGGTAGAGGGGAGGTGAGTCCAGCCCGTTCTGGTGTCCATTCATGGTGGAACTGTAGCTCCCGCTGGCGTCTGAGGAGCCACCGGGGCTGTGGTGGTTGATGCTGTCCGTCAGAGAGGCAGGGCTCGACGGTTCCGTCTTGATGTACGACGAACAGCTGGAATCAATGTGTCGATCTTTGCTTGACATTCTGCAGAGAAGCCTGCAGCGAGGAGAGAGAGAAAGAAGAATCTGCGTATTAAAGACGGTGCTCTTTCAGGCTGCTCTGGAAGGGTTAGGGACTGCACATCATTCATTCATTAGTCAATACCTCTTGTTCTACATGAAGGTAATCAGTATAAGGGCATGACAGAGCTTTGTCAAAGCTTCAGACAGGCAGTAAACAAAAACTTTAAAGAGACCCAATCCGTCTGTTGTCCCCTCCACCTGCCCTCCAGGCTACGTGTCAACTTCACATCAACTAAAATTTGAACTTGCCACCTAGCGAGTCAAAAAATTAAAAAAATCCTATTAGATGACTTAGCTATTAAATGCTTTCCTTTTTCCATCAGTGGTTTCCGTAAATTCCATCATTATCAGGAACAAATATTTCCAAGTTCCATCACATAAATGTTCTGCTCTGTAATTAATATTTGTCAAGACACTTGACTAAAACACATATCCATCATCTATTGATCTGATCTCAGAATCGAAGAGCAAGTCTCTCGTAGTCTTTTTTTTTTTATTTATTAATATTGCTTTAGTATAGATACAGCTATTTAGTACCGGAGTAGCAATCAACTGGGAACTCTAACAAATAATTAAGGCTGGACTCCATTTTCACAAAATCTAAGTGAAATAATTCATCAGCTCTGGCTGCAATTACTTTACAGCCATTATCCGCAGACTGACCAGTAATAACTATGCCACCATCCCATACATCTGCAGCTCTATACGATCTGACATTTTACGTGTTCCATTCTTGGTTAAAAAATATATTAGAGAAAATTTGAGATACAAGTTTTGTCTTTCATGAGGTGAAATTCTGTCTTACTTCTCAGATGTCACGTTTTCAGAATTAAGCATCCAAAATAAAACCATATTAACATTTGATCTGACAAATTAGTGCTTTCTACAGGGGGAAAATCATCCTTGTCTATTCCATCCCCAAGGTTTTTATTATTTTTAAACACATTTTAGGGAGAACAAAGGACAAAAATAATAACTAGAAAGTTCTGAATCAGATACTATCTTCATCTTCTACAGCTGTGATCATGAGACCACAGTAGCAAACGGCCTACCCAGCATTTTCCTGACAGTACTCAGTAGCTGCCAAAGTACAGATGACAGTTACGAGCATTTCTCTAGAAACATTTTCAGCAGAAAAACTACCCCATAAGGCCATCCACCTGGAGCTATAGATTCATGTTTTCAAAGCAAATGCATAACTCCAGACAATTTGACTGACTTGACTTAACTTTCTAAAGTCATTTTAGAGATCTTGTCTTCAATTTTTTACCTTTTTGTGTTAAAAAAAAAAAAATAGTATCAATTTCTACTTCAAGATCTGGAATCAAATTCACCAACAGAACATAGACATAAATCCAGAGAGTTGACTTTGTTTCCAGTGAGGGTAACTGAGATCAAAGCCTGGCCCTTCATTAAAAATATCTGATTAGGATGAGATCTACCCTAAAATCAGTGCCCATGGATCTTATTTAGGACCTCTCAATTGTTTTTGATTGTTATTGTAAAATTCTTCTGAAAACAAACAACACGCGAATTTGGAAAACAGTCAGGCTGATGTGCAGAAACGCTACCCTCCAAATTCAAAATCAGTACTTATTGAGGGAGGGGGAAGGAACAAGCTATCTGGTGTCAGCAAATAAACCAAGGAAATGGGAAGGTTAAAGCCGTGAAAATATCTTATTACATTGGACCACCTGCTTGTGTTGTCCTTTCCTCAAGAACTGGAGGGGGGGAAATCCCCTTGCCAGCCTGCAGGAGCGTGTGCCTTTTCTTCTGCATCTGCTGCCTTGTAGCCGTCACTGTTAATGAGTGCTGTAATTAATAGATAGCTCTCTCTTGTCTCTCTACTTGCACTCTGGGCTAAGCACTTTTCTCAAGTCAACATTTGAAAGAAAGCGGGTCGGCACTGACTTACAGCAGCTCTGTGAATTCCTTTTAATTTAGAGCACTTACACCACCACTCCACTTATTACCTTATAATTACTGGACCGCTCTCACATACATTACGATCTCAGACTGGAGTTAGAAGTTATTAGGGTACTAAAACATGGTGTCTCTCTGTCTCTCTCTCCTCTTTCTTTGACACTGAATTTTATACAGCTACGATCAAAAATATCAATTAACTTTCACCTTCTACGAACTTATTTTTTACACTATTTTTCTATACACTAACGTCCTTTTTGTTGCCTAAACAGGTACTTGGTCTTCTTTTCATCTTCCTGCTGCTGAGACTCCACATACAAAGTCTCAAAACACAGCAATAACAGTCACTGCCTACAGTCTGTCATAACCAGCTTGATGGTACATTCTTGTCTAAGACTCCCACTGCCGACTTTTTTTTTCTAATTTGGGCAATAATGAGCTCAAATGTCAATCTTCCCTTCCCAGAAAAACCATTTGCAATTAATTAGTTGTCCAAAAGCATGTTGTCTTAGCCAGTGCAAAAGTGGCTATCTCCCACTCCAAGTGGTCAGAACCAAAGCATAACCTCAGTTCTACAAGCACTAAAACCCGATGGCCAGCGTGGCTTAGGCTAAAGCTGGTCTGTTGATGCTTCTGAAGTAGCAGTTTCTGGTACTAACCGAGATGGAGCTGCTTTTGACTACAGCTTAAACAGTACAGACTGGACTGGTGCACGCTGGCAAAGCACGAATGCGGTTAAAACATTAACTGTTCCAAAGAAAAGTGAAAACAACAGCGCCTGACTCTGAGCACAAAAAACTTTCTCAATCCCCTGAAGAAGGTGAACCAGACACGAGACCGGGTGCTTTAAGGTACACCTACTGCTTTCACTCCTTCGTTACTGCACCACATCTGAAGGAAAGTAATTCAAGAGCCATCTTATACGGACGGCAGGTGGGACCACCATCAAATTATCACGCTGAACATTTGGAATAATGCCTAGGCTAGATCTCTGTAAAACCCTCCCTCAGTTCCCTCCTAATTACTACTTAGCTCGTTACACCGAAGAATTCCTAGACACCATTGCATTATAGTCTAAAACTACAGCTGGAGCTTAATTCTCTCTTCCTCTCTGTGTCTGAAATTCTACAGCTCTATTATTCAAGCCTGAAATATTCACAACTATCTATAAATTCAATTGTCAGCCGGTGGTTTTTATTCTAGACCTCGCTTCAATCTAAAATCAGAGGCACTAAAATTCACATTAACTCTAAGAGGAATGTAGTGAATAAGACTTTATTTCAAAAGAACACCTTTTTGTCAGAAAGAGCTATTTTCAAGATGATGGCTTTATCTGCATTCAAAGAGAATATGCCCAATTCCACATTGTGCTGTTAATGCAAAATTTTTAGGTCACATTGGATTAATAAAAATCTAAATTTAGTTAAGGTTTATGAATAGAAATAACATGTGTCATATAAAAACGTACAGTATTTATTTTAAAGCCTTGGTGGGGTTGTTTTTTTTCTTTACTAGATTTTAAGTCAAATAAATGGCAGCTCCATTTGTGGTGGGCTGTTCACAGGTAAGTTTTCTAAGAACTAGTAGCTCTCGGGTAAACTTTCCTTTCAGTGACTGTTGGGAAAGTCACTGATTGGATCTAGAAACATTTCCACGCCCATATTCAAGAGAAACTACATAAGGTGCTGCAAGCCTCAAATAAAATGCAATACGTAGTATGACTCTTCACATCTCTACTAAATTTACTTCACAACTTCTTTCTTTAAGAAAGACCTGAAGCCAGTCACTGCTGGTAGAAGGGTGCAACGACAAGAGCGCTTCAATATGCAACTTCTGCTTTAAAATGGTCTTAAACAATAGTGAATAAATTGTAATGCTCTGTGCTTATGAAAGGTTGAATATATTAAGAATTTATTAATGCAATCACAGTCATATTTCCATCTACCTGCCACATTACTAATGATATTGACAGTGCTGACACGGGCTAAATCAGTATCAATATACAAGTGGAGTGCAAAAATTAACTGCATCTGATTACAGTATATAGCCTTAAAAAAGAAAGCCTTCCCATTCAAGCCCCTGGGATCTCTTTATATTCCATCCAACTGGTCCAGAATGTTGCTTTTCCCCCATCTCTCCCTCCTTTATTATCAATACCTAAAGGAGGTCAAAACAACATGTCAATACTTTATAATCCGTGAACGCCATTCACGCTCGCTATTCAAGTAGGAAAAGCTCTGCTTACGGCATCATTTACTACTTCAGAGCTGCGCTGGTGGTTTCAGTGAGAGTAATAATTAGTTACAATAATCAGAGTGAACTAGAATTTATTATAGACCAACACAAAAGTCCACTTTTACCTGCACACGAAGTTTTTCTTTTCTGGAGGACAGAATTACCCTATTTCCATAAATGTCAGAATAGGTTGTTATCAGCTGACATTTTTAATGACAGCTACTACACGGGAGCATCAGCAAGGCAGGTGTTATTATGCACACCTAGGTATTTTTTACTCTAACACTGCAATCCATCTGATTTTCCTCCAATGCATTCCTCTAGCTCTCATGGATGTCGACCAAAAAGGTCTTAACTTGTTATCCTCATATTTTAACCATGAAAACCAAGTCCTGGTCTAGGTCACCCAGTCAGCAATGGGAGCCAGCTCCTTTCTTTGACAGTAAAGATCACATTTCCTCTCAAAAACTGTGCTTACTTTCGGTATCATTTCACAGGTCTGTACCAAAATCAATAGACAGGAACAGTGAGGCATGTTCCAGTGATTTCCCATACTCTGCTTCTCCGAATGCAAGAGGGAAACAATGTTTGTGTGGAAGGAAATTAAAACGTTGCTTCTTGCACTGATGCCCATGAAAACACCTCGAGACTTTCACTGGGTCCTCTTAAAGAGTTGAGCAACGATTTCAGCCAAACTGCTTTATATTGAGCATTTTTTTCTGCTTCAGCTAATTGCACTCTAGTAAAGTGGCAAAATGTGAATCACTTAGCAGGAAAATGGGCACCAGCTGCTATTGTCAGAGAATGGAGACGCCGAAGAAAA